CAATATGCGTTTTTGCTGCCTGTTGCAGCGCTCTAGCGCTGCACGGCAAAAACGCATAAAAAATGAATTTATAGAAAGGGGTCGGAGACAATAGTGCAAAAAAAGAGGCTTGTGATTTAACATCGGATTACTTGCCCCGAATCGTTACATGAGTTAAACTTTCAACCTTTCCAGTTTTTGCAATGATCTTGGCTAAGATGACGACAGGTCTCAAATAGTGCAATTCGTAGCAGGCTAGTGGTCCTACACAAGGCTGAGGTGACTATTCCTCGTTAAATCTGTGCTTCAACTTATATCAACAGTGATTGCAAAAACACTGTGAGGAAGAAATCCAGGTCGGGGAATACGGTAAATGAAGGTTCATTTTGCTTTTACGAGCTTGCAGAATGCCCAGAACTAAGCTCTTTTCCGTTCGGCTTTACGGCTTTTGTATGCGAGCTGAACAGCCGTATATCGTTTCACGAATGAGACCACAGGACAAAGCTGATCACTGGGCTGTATTCACGCACTGCGGGAAGCCGCCAATGTGGCTGCAAAATCCCCCTGAACGGTTATGTGGAATTATATGGATGAGAGAAACACAATATGAAGAATGGGGAAGTTGCCAGTTGCATTAATGGCAAAAAAAAAGTACAGCGCTGAAATAAGAGCTAACCAAAATAATGCATTTTAAGCGACGACAGACTCTGTACGCAATTTTACACACAAATTGAAGAGCAAAGCAGGACAGTGCATGACAGAGAGCTATACAAAAGGTAACAACACTTCACCTGATATAATTTGCCGTTTCGCTATCGTCAGCGCATTTGATCAACCATTTCCGAATGGTTTCACAGGAAGTAGGTGCGTGATAGTCACTGCCACAGCGAAAGCTGTAACACAAAGCATAACACTGCAGCTATTTCATCGAAATGCATAACACGATGATGATGATGCTCAGTACTTACCAGAACGACGTCTCACACTTTGTGCAGGTGACTTTTTTTGCCGCCGAATACTCAGCCATTATAATCATATGACAATCAGGCCCTGAGCAGAATCGTAATTTCGGATGCGATTCAACACAATCCTTGAAACGCAACTGCTCATACTTCTCCTTCAGATCAGAATTCTCTTTTAAAATGTTCAATACAAAATCTTCCATGCAAATCACATTGCACCCGTTTTCCATGCAGCTAATCCTGTAAATTTTGATAATTTTTATACCAATTTGTTAATAGAAAGACTGAAACAACCTGTCGCAGAATTTTCCAAACTGTCTTTTTCCCATTTCACGACTAAAGCTCATTTTAGTCCTTGAGCGTCCAATCTTCACATCAAAATTTTTTACACCATAACGCATAAGCCAAGTGAAAATTATTTTGAAAAGATGTGAAAATGGCACAATCCCCTTCTGAAGGTCTATGAGCTATTAAAATGATCAAGAAAAGTTAAAAGGAGAAAATTGCTGAAGCCATTTTTGCCCTCTTTTAATAAGAAAACAGAAAAGACTGAAACAGGCTAGAAGTCTAGAAGGGG